ACAAGCGTAAATGCAGCATTAATAGTCTTGGCCGTAAGCGAATTCTAGCGAGTAATTTTGATTTTACACCGTTTCTCAAGAACAAAGATCGCACACAACATCAAAGTCGAAGTCAAAGCCTGACTGGTAAAGAAACCGAATATTCTTGGTATAATGATGAGGAACGGATCGTACCTAGCGGTCCAAACCCTTTGCATCACTAGCTAAAAGGTTTTTGATTTTGATTCAATACATTATTGTTCTTTTTTTTGGGATCAATATATTGTTAGGTTGCGACTACATACATGACCATGAATTATGATTATATATTATGAAGTGTAGTATATTATTGTAACCACCATATTTGTTAATGGTTCCTCGATTTGAAGGGGTTCATTAATATCCTATTAATAGCTTCAATTTTTGTATATCTACAGTTATGGACCTCTACGGCTCTACCGTCTACAGTTGTTAAAATATTCATTGAACATACTGATTTATATGAATCAATTATATTCATGTAAGGTACATTGCGTTAATTTGTTGGTTTCAATACATTTCGTTTTTATTGAAGTGTTAATTACATTGGGAATAAAATAATGTATTTTCCCCAGTTATATTTTAATCTTTTTCTGTGCACCATTTCTTTCATTAATTTAACGTTTGGAGATACACATGTATCAGATTTGATTCGCGCCTTGATACACGTTACACGCTTCGGACGGATACGACTTCAATTAGCATCAGATTCGAAAAATCTGATTCATATGATCAACTCTAGGACCCAAAATCTGGAAATCTATGGGATCTTAGAAGATATACACATCTCTCTCTAGATCTAGAATCGGTCACCTTTGAGTTTGTTCAAAGGATCAAAACATTGAGGCCGATTATGTGGCAAAATCAGCTCTCAATCTTGTACCGATTAACCTCGGTTTCATACCGGTTTAATGAAATTTCATCTTTTGACAAAAAAAAAACAAAAAAAGAGATACACATGTAATTACAAACAGACTTGAAAGTAGTCGAAGGCTAGAAGCTAAATTTATACTTACGTCTATTCATTTATTGCGAAATAGAAAAATAGCTTAGTCATGAAAGATTTAGTTTCTGATGTAATGATGTAATCTATCATACACATTATAAACTACTATAGTGATATTTTACAAGTCTAGGGGTCTATAACAGCGGAATCTGGCTGAATTGCATAATCTGGCTGGATTTTTGATGATTTTTTGCGGAATCTGATAGAATAATTTTGAATGCAAATGGTAACAAGTGAATCTAGTCAAATGTGGCGGAATTGTTGAAAACAAAATAATTAATTAAACTTATGAAAATATCAATTAAACATTGCTTTTCAAAATTAAATATATATATATATTTAAAATTGTATTAGTTAGAAAACAATAATATTTTATTAAATTATTTCCTAAACCTAAAACTTATTTCATCAATAGTTTCATCTTTTATTTTTGTTTAGCAAAATTAATAAGTTTATTTTAATTATGTATCACTAAAATAATGAGTAAATATTCCTAATTTATTTTAAAAATAAAAAGG